CAATATACTGACGATTGGCGTGATTGGGGTACACGGGGCTTTGTTGAAATGTTGCAGATGAATAATATGGACTGACGACTGACGTGATTGGGTACACGGATCTTTGTTGACGTGATGAAGTCGGAATGATAGAAACTGACGATTGATGCAACCGGATGATATCGAGGTCAGGTAATAAATATGAATAAATTGGACAGAACAATATTTTTCACGCCGATAATTTATGGATGTATATTGGACAGTCTATTGCTCATTTGAATATTCATCACTGCGATATTAAATTATTTGTCGGTGGTTCTAGTTTGACTTCCAATGATCGTATGCACATATCAGTTAAACGAATTTGAGACTTACATTTAGCGAGCTGTTCTTCGTTAAGTTGTTTTTCGGACCATTAAAACTGTAATAGCTGAGAAGCTTTCTGCATCTCTTGTTGAAGCCTGGCCTTCACCGGGCCGATTGAAGAACGGATATGTGCTGACGTTGACATTGCGTTGAACGAGTGTTGTTTGCGGGGCAATTGATTTGATGTGCTGGTGGAACGTATTGAGTAACGAATTTGTTGGATTGTTGAATTTCCACGGGCAGTTGAGAATATCCGAATTTTGTTGTAATTGGAATATAGTCGCAGAAAACGAATAATATCAGACTCTATTTTGCCGACGCACCATTTCGGCGTTCGTTTTGTATTAACACTGTATTATATATCGAAACACAAAGCATTCATATAATACAAACAGAAAAGGGAGGAGATCCTCCAAATGAGATATAAGAAAGTCAAGTTTCATCATCCGATTCGATAGCGCATGATATTTGTGTACATCTTATACATATACAGCTAAGTACAGATTTAAGGTTGTTTTCACATATCACTTTGGTGTCTCTTACGAATCGTCTCTTTCGCACTTCTCTTTCGCGCTCCGTCGCGACATCAGATAACGGCTACTGTGCAGGTGCTAAAGGCTGCAAAGGAGTCGTCATTTGCTCTGTTGACGAAGCCGCTACGAAGTCATTGGCACTGCACTCAGCTCTGATTCGTTCAAGCCAAGTCGAACCAATGGTGCTGCGTTTATAGCTTGCCATGTTAACGTGAACTTCACACATCGCATGCCCACAAGGTGTTCCGCAAACGCCGCCGTACAACTGATTAACGCATCGCGCGGCGATTACAGAATCGCTGAAATGAGAATTTTCTGAGCAATAAACCAGCAACCTACGGAGAGGAAGTTAAAAAGATGGGCACTCCAGGGGAAATTTAGCAGATTTCGTATTGAGTATCCAATTTGACTAAATCCATTTACTTGCACATATCTGTATCAACTACTTGTCCACTTGTCATACATAGGTGGAGCTCATCAAGGACTGTTTCATTTTTTGCGAACTCGGCCATGCATTGCTCGTTTGCTTCGAGAACTGGAAAAAATACAAAAATTGAACATTTTCATGAATACTTTACTAATGGGAAATTCGCTCATCGACAGCTTTAAGCACTGTAGAAATTCACTCGATGAACGGCTGGTTTCGTTGAATCATGTAACCGACGGAAAATTGGTAACACCTAGAAGTGTGAAGGTGGAAGCAACCTAAGCAGAAAATCTGAAAGTGATCGCGAAAATTCCGTCATACAACCAAATAGTAGGGAAATGAATAAGACAGGCAGCATCTAGCTAATGCGATGGGTCAAGCACGCTTCCAGAATATGTATCAATTCATTTGTATCATTCACCATCTAAAGCCAAAGCTTAAAGTCAAGCTCAAGAGAACTCCATGGCATCAATCAGTGCTTCAGTTGAAGTGGTCGTGATGAAGTGATGCAGGTGTGATCACCGATTGGAAACACAATTGCCATATTAAATTCGAGCTTCAGTGACCTTACATTAGATACAGGATGGCAAATGGACTGAAGCGCCAAAAAGACTTTTGCTTTTCATCTCACCTGTAAAACCCTGACCGCACATATACTCCAGTTGTGCAAAGATGTTGGAGTTTTCAATGGCATTGCTGTAGCTGGAGGTTAACGCTGCAAGGTTTTCTTCGTTTATGCAGTGGGGTATCAAAGGAGAAGCGAAACTTCTTTTGATACAATCATATGAAAAATTGAATGACCTGCAAAATGACTCGTAACTCTGTGTAAACTCATAACTGCTGCAAAAATGTGATGCTCATATATGAGGGCGAGGTGTGGTTCTATTGTCGACAAAGTTCTGGACATTTTTGGAATTTGCGAGACACTCCTTATAAACATATGAGAAGGATGACTCTCTGATTATATTGCGTAGATGAACATTTTTCAAAGGGTAGAAATTCGATGATTTTTTTTCCTATGCCTTCGGAGAAATTTCGCAATAATGCTTCAAAACTGTTTCTTCGACCCGCGATGGGCTCGCACATTCGTACGACTTTTACGGACTGCAAATGTTTGACATCTGTTACAGGTGAGAATGTACACTGTGACGTATACGAACCTGCATTTACTCCGCAAAGACCGAGAGGAATTTCAGAATATATGGACATAAGGGAAATCCTGTGGTAAATTTCCAGACGGATCAATTCCAAGGTCATACACTTGCAAATAGCAGCGATAGCATCCGCGAACCACCTGAAATTGCAACTGATTAGCACATTATTGCCTATCTTTTTCAACAGCGCTTTAAAGAAAGATTAACATAAATTTACTCACAAATCAGCTCAAGCATTCGGTTTGAAAGTGAATACTTACACGCAAGTATCGTCCAACTAGTGTACGTTTGCATCAACATTCTTCAATAACTTGTTGCAATCTGTATTTGCAACTTTCAAAAAACACGAATCGAATTACTGTCGAACGTCGTACGACTGGAAGAAACTGAATGAAAATTCAAAGCTGCTCTTCAAAGTTGCTCCCACATACTTCAGTCAGGTTAAATGGACACCCCGCTGTGGCTAATGTTCCGGTGTCACTGTGGTCTTGTGTTCTCAGGGATGTTGTCCGTACTCCGTTGACAACAGAGAGGTGTTGTTGGAGGCGTAATCTGTTGGTGACAACTCCAAACACATGGAGACCGTATGGGGCAATATTGCTCTTGAAACGTAGGCCTGAGACCAGAGGGAACAGCACTGTAACAAAATGATTATTATGAGTCTACGCATTATGCAAAAGACACTGTAAGAAACAAAAGTAGCCATGGTTTCTCGAGTCATTCCACTGCTCATCCACGTAAAAAACAAACAAATGTACCTGCTCACTGCCAGGCTTCGAAGAAATTTACCAGGTGGTTACCTTCTATATTCAAGTACTAATCTCTCTGTAAGGTCCACAAAGCTACATTCCTGAGTTTTATGGAACACCGAGAGATTAGAGTAACCTGATTCTCGAGGTGGACTAGCTTGCGTCCCAGGAATGCATCACCCCATGGCTATGGATCTGGATTAGATTCTTATTCTCTAGTACGTGTGAGAGGAAAAATAAATGAACGGTAAGAATCAAACCAACTCACCCAACAGGATAGCACCGATCGGCACTGTTGTTGTTTTGGAACGGAACATTTTGAGTTCACAGCAGAAAATGAATGCGGCGCTTCAAACTGACAGTATTTAAGCCCTGTCTCTATTGAGCTTATTGCAGAGTTCACTCATCCTTATCTATACATATCATGGGCTTCGTAAGCATACTTCTAATGTTGGATAAGTTGGTTTGATTTATAGTTACAAAGACCTGCACTGATTTTGAAGTAGTTTCAAAGAAAGCTAATGTTTCGGGTACAAAGTCATGCAGTGATTCTCAAATAGTTTCAAAGACAGCTGATGTTAGAAAATATCTCATTCCTGAATTGTATGTTGCAGCAAAATCACTTGATAATGAACTCACTTGGTTCGAAGAAAAAAAAGTGTATCATGTGAAATGATAGTAATAAGACTGATAAGGGTAATTTCATTGAAAGTAAAGCGAGCGGTTGTAAAACTACAATTCGACTCAAGATGTGTTGATATCATAATACCGTCAATAACAGTAATAGAGTTTGGGTACAAAGTCCTGCAGTGATTCTGCAATAGCTTCAAGTTTGCAGATCTAATGTAATAAAAGGAAATGGGAATGAAAAGTGCGATGTAGAAATAGATAAGAAACTGAGCAAGCAATAAAACTATACTGTTGCATATGAATCGGCCTCTCTTTTCGTCCCAGAATCAATCGGTTTTTCGTTTCACCTCCATCATCTCTCACGCAAACAGCTTGTTGTGTGAACGTAAAACGTTGTTTGCACACAACCTTTATCATTGTTCATTTCCTTGAGTTGCACTTCTGTCATTGACTACTCAGTGATATGGTAAGCCTCATCATTTAATCATCGAGAAAAAGAGAGCTTTGTGAATGCTTTTCATAGATTGCAGTTCTAAATGGACCGAATCGAGCTTGTAATCACTTCAATTCTTTGTGTGATGTTTCTCATATAGAGAGGTTCGACTGATGTGGTGCTGACATTGGTAACGTGAATGAACTGTTCTGCTGACTTTATCAGTTGTTGATCGACAAAGCAGTGATGAATAATCATAAGGAGTCGATTGTGCAACATTACTGAAACGAAATTCGATACAAAATAATTCTCATAAATGATATATTTCCATGCAAAAGTGCATCACTCTCCAATTCATTGTTCCGTTTTAACATCTGCTGCTAATTTCAGATCGTGAATCTCGTTTAATCCATTCATTTCCAAGAATATTGATAACCACTCGATTGCGATTGCTACAATCGTCTATATTCTGATATGAGATTAGTAAGGAGTGCAATGTCTTGATCACTGTGAAGTGTACTGGCAAATAATCATGGGATATACAGTTCTCTTGAACCTTGTCATAGTTTACTGCTTCAGTGACATTTTGGTGCAGATTGTGCCTTCAACGAAATTTGGAACATCCTATGAGTTTGACGAGGTTTGGTAGAGTTTACTGATAAAGTGGAATTTGGTTCAGATTTAGCGAATTTCGATGAAGCTTATGGCTTAGATGAAATCTCGTACAGTTTACTGCTTCAGTGTTACTTGTTCCAGTTTATCGGTTCTTCCAACGCCTTGTTGTGATCGGCATGGCAAAGGAACACACAAAATATTCAATTCTTTACTCCTTAACAAATCGCCAAATTTATGGCCTTCGACGTCATCAACAAGAAGACGAACTACAGATATGATTTAAGCGTAGCAGTAATTACGAATATCGATAGTGTTCAATATAAATGATTGTGATCTGCACACTGCTGAAGCCTATACGATTGGTTTAATGGAGGAAATGCGATGAATCGAAAACTAAACGGACAAAGCTGGCATCTAATGGCTAACAAATGACCAAAAGACGTGATAATTGTTTGTGATTTTGATCGGTACTGTTTGTGACGCTGACTGTGTTGTTGGTCCGAAGGCGAAGATTAATAATTTAGTTTATCCACACAATAAATAAAGACGATAACAATGGTTGAGTTAAGTGAAGATACACTGACGGTTGAGTGACGAAAGATGCTGATGATGGCTCATACACAACAACAACACTGGATATAGAGCAACACACCAACTGACTAATATAGGGAACCGACATAACTACACTGAGCTACTTACATAGTCATTGAGATTAGCTGATTAGGAAACAATGGTTACGAATTGCCAATGGTGGCCAGAGAACACACGATATGCAAAGCACTATAGAGAGACATACAAGAAACGGTAAACAATAAACAAGAGATCACCGGTTTATCACAACATCATCCTTCAATAATCACTACTGATTAAACCCTACTACGAACAAGAACCAACATCAGGTAGGGACTACGGTGCGGATGATGAAGGCTGCAAATTAGTGGTCATTTGCTGTGATGAAGTCCTTAGGATGTCAAATATCGTTGCGTTATAATTGTCGCTGCACTCAGTTCTGTTACCTTCAACATAAGTCGAATCAATGGTGTTGCGTTTATAGGGTGGCATTCTAACCGGAACATCGCACGTCCGTAAGGTGTTCCGCAATCACCGCCGTACACCTGATTAACACGGTACCCGGTCAATGTGCTTAAATCCATTTTGCCTAACGACTGTTTCCCTAAAGACACATTGCCTAACGCACTGTTTGCCTAAGGTAATATTTGCCTTATGGGGCTGCCTAATGGGCGTGTCAGATTCTTAGACGCAACCGTTCAGAACATGATGGGAATGTCCTTCTCGTGGCAATTGTTACAATATCTCTACATATCGAAGTTGGTGATTTTGATGGCTTCAAGCAAGGTCAAGTTTTGACTAATGAAGTTATCAAGAGCAAACAACGCGTCTAGTTTATCTTTATCGCCGTTGATGGACAATTTGCTTCAGCAGTCTCCATCAAGGAACTATGTTCAGATGCGTATACAACACATTTCCCATAACAATGCAAGATCATATTTATTATTAATTATGCACTTCGGAATACATGAAATTAGGTAAAATGCTGATGATAGCTACGTTCATAACAG